AGCGTCGGAGACAACAATCCCACCAAGGGTCGGCGAATAGCATCATCGATCCCTTCCTCTCTCTTATAGAAGATCCTTGAGGTAGGAGATATTATTCTAATAGTCTCACTTCGTATCCCTCGTTTAAGCACACATAAGCAATGTCGTCATCGCCCTCGTCACCTAGACCCTAGACTTATCCTAGCCCTATGATTCATATGCGGCGTTAAGAAATTTCCCCAATTGCCAGGAGGATTTGAGTGTAATATTCAAGTTCAAATCCCGATGCACTGGGTTCAATTGTAGGTTAAGTTATTGTGAGAATTTCATTATTGATTTAATTAAAGAAACATAAACTACGTCTCGGTGCATCCTGGTGTCTAGTGTCTTGATCGGTTTGTGAATCAGGGTTAAGTGCCAAGTTTCGTTATTTATTCGAAGATTAGGTGGATGAACGCTCACCTAAGGTGTGCTCCTAAAATCTAGGAAGTTTATGCTGAGAATCAGGTAGATGAACTCTCACCCAGGGTGTGCTCCTAAAATCTAGGAAGCCTATGCTGAGAATTAGGTTGATGGAATCTTACTTAGGGTGTGCTCCTAAAATCTAGGAAGCCTATGCTGAGAATTAGGTGGATGGACTCTCACCTAGGGTACTCCTAAAATTTAGAAAGCCTATGCTGAGAATTAGGTAGATGGATTCTCACCTAGGGTGTGCTCCTAAAATCTAGAAGCATGGATTCTCACCTAGGGTGTGCTCTTAAAATCTAGAAACCTATACTGAGAATTAGGTGGATGGATTCTCACCTAGGGTATACTCCTAAAATCTAGAAGCCTATACTTTAACATGTGCTTAAAGTGATTTAGGCATTCTACCCTAAATTAAGTGTATTCCAACTAACTTTCAAATATTTTTAAGTGTCTTCCAAGTAATTAAATCAGGAATTCCCATTTTATTTTTGACTTGACCATTTAACAAAAGTAACAAAATAAACGGAAAGAAAATGTAGATCCACTTTCAAAACTAACAAATTAAAAGAGGAAATAGCAAGTGAAAACCTAAAGACGTGTGAAATCTTTCAACAACTGTAATTAAATAGACTTAAGAAAAGTGCTTAAGTTTGTTCCAAGACAGTGTACAAAATCGGCCCGAATCGACAGATAAAGTGTCCAAAACAGCAATCGAAATCAGCACAAATCAACACCTATAGTAGCTCCGAAACAGTGCATAAAATCAGTTCAAATTGACACCTAAAGTGACTCCAAAATAGTGCGTTAAAATCAGATTTTAAATTCGCCTCAAGACATTGTGTAAGCCTCTCTAAATCAGCAAGCAAAAACACCCCAAAACAGTGTCGAAATTGATGAAAAAAAATTGCTCCAAAATGGTGCCCAAATTA